TCAAAACACAGACAAAAACGAGCTGAGTCTCAAATTAGAAGCTAATTTAACTTTTATTACTCTATACTTTTATTCTAATGCTGATTGTTTACACTACACTTATTTCACTTTATTATTTTCACTTTTCAATCTTAGACTGTGTACTTTACTTTCATTATCACTATAGTTTAAAACTATTCTAATCTATTCACAAATATGTTTGCATATTCTTATTGAGCCATATTCTTAAACATACATTTTAATCTAATAAATCTCTTTGTGGTTTACTTTCATTATCAGTGGCTTATTGTTAGTGGGATTTTGCTCCATGTCTACTCTACATTCTCAGGAATAAAACTGTGAACACAGTAAGACAAATGGTTAATATAAACATTATTATGGCTGTCAGTTTTCCAAATACATTTGTTGAACCAGGAAGTGATGTCACTTCCTCCTCTCAGACAGTTTGGGATGAATGTAAATCATTAATCAAATTGGAACTATCCTTACAAGAGCTAATCTATTTTAGCAGGTTTGGGGTCAGTTATTCTACAATGGTGTTTGTGCTGGAAACTTCTCAATATCTAAATATCTACTATTGTGTTTTTGGGCTACACCCAAATGCATCAAAATGCTTTTGAATCTCTGTTGGTTGTAATCTATCTCATTAATCTGGACTACACTCATATGAACTTTTTGTATTGTCAACATTCACTCATGTGTGAACACAAGTGAATTTGGCAAGTATCTAATAAAACTGTATATAAAACTGTAATTAACTTTATTTACTTTTGAAGTAAATGCTTGTGAAATGGTCCCTTTACCATTTGATATTAGCACTGGCTAAGAATAATTTCTATTTTTGAAAGCATCTATGGTTGATGCTTTTATCTATTCCTATTTTTACACTATTGTGGCTCTAAAGCTCGGTTGCAGCTTGAGTAAAGGCATATTTCTAGTTTGTGACTTCTGTCACTTTTAATGGCTGTAACATTATTCTGATTCTAATATTTTAGCTGATCTATCAAAAGGATAACATTGTAGGGTACTATTTTAACTCTTATGTGGAAATATGTTTATGAACAACAAAGGAAGGACAATTCTACTTTTTTACTACTATTTAACATCTAATAAAACGCTACAATACTCATACTTTATCATTTAAAAACATTTTAACAGTTGCTCAGTCTCCCAGACTAAAAAGTCAAAGTTTTTGTCTGTCAGATGTCTGAATACTTAACATTTATATTGCATTTGTCACAGGTTCTGGTTGTAGCAATAGCATCGGCAATAGACGTTTTCATTGGCTGGTTCTTGTTCTGCAAATGTCTGTGTCCAATAGATCATCAGATGTCCAGAAGCTAGGGACAAACAAAAACAAAAGAAAGAATCATGAGTATCTCTCTCATTTAGCACTCATCAATGTATGATTTCAAAAATATAAACATCACTCCCCAGTTTTCTCTCCAAGGTCCTCAGGGTCCTCAGGGTCCTCAGGGTCCTCAGGGTCCTCAGGGTCCTCAGGGTCCTCAGGGTCCTCAGGGTCCTCAGGTCCTCAGGATCTTGGACATCAGTAGGGTCCAAGCCATGGTTCTGGTCTCTCCAGATGCACATCAGGATCTCCAGATACAGTCTTTTCACTTGAAGCACATCAGGTCATTTGCGATGCACTTCTGGTCAATGGTGCAGTGTCTCAGTTCCTGTACACAGCTTGTTATGCAGTAGTTACTCTCTATGGTTAAGTCACTTTGATTCTACTTTAACACAATTTCTATTCATGCTGTTGCTTCTGTCTCTCAGACAAAAGCAAGCGCAGTTTACTTCTCTAATTTGTGTTTTTATCAGATCTAATTCTAATCAATGTAATTACTTCACACAGTACAAAATCAACAAATCAAAAGTGTCAGGACAGACGTCAATTAGTCCATGACAATATAGAATTCAAATGAATATTTCTGGTCTCAAAAAATACTGATTCAAGTGATAGACAATTAAAAATATGTGTTTACATTGGAGTAAACTTTTAAAATGCTTTTTTCTCATGTTCTGCTTTTTCATGTATCTATATGTAAATGTGAATGTGTGAGTGTATAGATGTATGTGTGTGTGTGTGTGGATGTGTGTAGGGTGTGAATTTTGGGGTTGTGTCTCCAGACTCCTGGAACCACCTGTAGGTCTCAAAGGTCACACTGTGGTGATGTAACCACCTGGACACACTCCCAACTCTCCTCCAGGTCTCTGCCTGACGCTCCACCATCACGTCTCCAGATACCTCTCTTTCATGGCCCCGGTCTCACTCACACCCACTCAGTTCTGCAGTGGCGTGGGGAGGGGCAAGGAGGTGGCATTTTCCTTTGCTCTTTGACCTGTGACCTGTGGCTGGGTGGGCTTTGCGCTGTCCAGTGTCCACTCCAGCAGTCCAGTGACCCCTCGTACAGTGTGTGCCCTTGGTTCTGGAACACAACCTTATAGTCAAATCAAAACAACAGATACAGTATCAGTTTGTGAATGAGATTGTTTTTCTCTCTGAAGTCTAAACCATTTTGGAGCGCTCTTGGCTTTTCAACAAGCGCTATGTAAATAAAGATTACTTATTATCTTACTAATGATGACATTTTAAAACCAGAAACTCTCTTAATAAAAAACAAGACTCAAATCTAAAAAAAATCCTTTTTAAACTTTAAAATATGTGTACTTTTGTACTGTGTGTTTAATTATCTATGCGTCCTTGGGTTTCACTTTATGGACTTTCCCTTTTACACTTATTTATCTCAGCATCTATTCTACTAATTTAAAATAATTGCAGCATTTTTCAAATTAAGTCAATATGAATTTGAGCACATTTTAGAGCCAGGCTCCTCTGCTGTGGCATCAGCAGCAGGAGGAAGGTCAGGCGTGTAGTCAAAACAAAAACGTCACCACTTGAATGTGAATTGGGTGAATTGGGTACAGTTCAACTTAATAATACTTTTACAGCCTAATTCCCTCTTTCTTTTTAGACAAAGTCTATAATCAATAAGCACTTTTAACACAGATTCCAATTTAAATGTTTGAAAAACGGCTTTTGTAACTAAAATAAAAACATAAAAACAAACACAACTCACAAAAAGTTAAGAAATAAGCAGCAGATTTAAAAAGAAAAGAAAAGCTTTTTGTACTAATCTTTGGGTTTCAAAAGCATACTAATTCAAAACTTCTATTCCCTAATGGTGTTTAAAAACGTTTAACTGTCATAACACAATGTTCAAATGGCAAATTTCGCAAATTTAACGGAATAACTACTATGAAAAGCCAAATTCCTAAAGCAGTAGCTTTGCTCTGATTCAGAGCCAGAGCAGCAAAGGAGGGGGCCGTTTCCCTGACAACGGCAGCAAGATAGAGCACACACAGAAAGTAGTGTTTTAGCAAAAATGCAAAAACAGAAAGAAGAATAACTTTCAAGATTACTTTGTTAAGCGAATATAACTGATGTTGTAGTTTATACTTTTGTCATCCAAGTCTAGAAGTGATCACTTTCCACACTAGTAACAAAAGGCACTCTTGTCTTTAACGTTTACGCTTCTATTTTATCGAGGTAGCAAACTAATTTAAACTCAAAATCTCTTTCTAAAAAACAAAAACAACTGTTGGATACAACCCTCTCATAGCTCAACTGTAGATAAAACTCTGCATTCTCAGGTGAACTCTGTTCACTCCAAAAACAAAAACTCCCTTTTTCTGTATGTAATTTAAACCGTGATCACTGAAATATTGTTGCTTATGTACTTTTGTCATTTATCAAGCCTTGAATTGGTTAATTACAAAACTTTTTGTGACAAAAGGCCTCCTTAACACGTTTCCCTTTTTATTGCTTTTAATTTTACACCATGGTTTCACTAAGGATCCTTCACTTTTATGGCCTTTACACTTTATGGATCCTATACACTTTAATGGCCAACACTTTTTGGATCCTATACACTTTATGGCCTTTTCACTTATGGCCAATACACTTTATGGATCCTCACTTATTTGAACACAATTTAGAGAGTTCGACAGACCTCAAAAACAGACCAAAATTTAGCTAGTATCCAATTATGCAGACTTTACATATAAAAAGGTGTCTGCTTACCTTATTCTTGTCAAACCGGTACCAAGGACTGTCCGAGAGGTCTGCCAACTCTTTTCCGCGTCGGAATATTCAATTTAAAAAACAAAAGTGACAGAAGCGACAAGAAGCATCCAGGAACAGCTCTTCCAGCCTGCTGGAATCTCCGCTCCCAGACACAGCCGATCTCTCACGCCGAGGAAAAGAAACAAAGCAAACTCCCTCAAAACAATCCAGAGAATGGCACACACTGAGCCGCACATTCTCCACCAAATCTGTCAGGGATGAACCAGACAGAGACGGATCGTGGTGCGCCAAACTCTGGAAGTTTATTTAAGTTTCTCTCAAGTTCCACTGGTTTACTCTGTTTCTTTCTCTCAGACAGAATAAAGGCAGTACACAGTTTATATAGTCATTGTCACGTCACACATCGAAAGACATACGTGTCACATCATAGTCATAACATGGAGTCCTTGTAGAGTCCTTGTAGAGTCCTGCACGTAGGCCATATTGCTATCTAATACTAACACCGCACTGGATTATAAACTGCACTTATTCCACTTTGTAATATTGAAAAATGTAGCTCAAAAACATTCATCATGTTCTTTAAGAGTTCGAGGAGTCACCGTTCTGAATCTTGTGTAAAGCAGATATGAAGTGTCACTTCATATCGATGCAGAGAACCAGAAAACGATGTATTTCAAGAGATATTTACACAAAGATAATTACTATTTCAGATGTTATTAGTGAGGACTTACACTTATTTCAATCTGCTTGATTTAATTTGATTGAACTTCTGTGAACTCATCAATTCTGTTGGTCGACTGCCACAGAAAAAAATGAATTAAGCCGCACCTTTCTATAAGCCGCAGCCTTCAAAGTGCAGGAAAAAAGCCGCGGCTTATAGTCCGAAGAATACGGTGTATGATTTTTGGCGTCATAGAAACTTTAAACTTTTGTGAAACGCAGCGCAGTCGCTCCAGTGCAGTCGCTCCAGCGCAGTCGCTCCAGCGCAGTCGCCCCAGCGCAGTCGCTTCAGTGCAGTCGCCCCAGCGCAGTCGCTCCAGCGCAGTCGCCCCAGCGCAGTCGCTTCAGTGCAGTCGCCCCAGCGCAGTCGCTCCAGTGCAGTCGCTCCAGCGCAGTCGCTCCAGCGCAGTTGCCCCAGCGCAGTCGCCCCAGCGCAGTCGCTCCAGCGCAGTTGCTCCAGTGCAGTCGCTCCAGTGGTGCAGTCGCCCCAGTGCAGTCGCTCCAATGCAGTCGCTCCAGCGCAGTCGCTCCAGCGCAGTCGCCCCAGCGCAGTCGCTTCAGTGCAGTCGCCCCAGCGCAGTCGCTTCAGTGCAGTCGCTCCAGTGCAGTCGCCCCAGCGCAGTCGCTTCAGTGCAGTCGCTCCAGTGCAGTCGCTACAGCGCAGTCGCTCCAGCGCAGTCGCTCCAGTGCAGTCGCTCCAGTGCAGTCGCTCCAGTGGTGCAGTCGCCCCAGTGCAGTCGCTCCAGCGCAGTCGCTCCAGTGCAGTCGCTCCAGTGGCGCAGTCGCCCCAGTGCAGTCGCTCCAGTGCAGTCGCTCCAGTGCAGTTGCTCCAGTGGTGCAGTCGCCCCAGTGCAGTCGCTCCAGTGCAGTCGCTTCAGTGCAGTCGCTCCAGTGCAGTCGCTCCAGCGCAGTCGCTTCAGTGCAGTCGCTCCAGTGCAGTCGCCCCAGCGCAGTTGCTTCAGTGCAGTCGCTCCAGTGCAGTCGCTCCAGCGCAGTCGCTCCAGCGCAGTCGCTCCAGCGCAGTCGCTCCAGCGCAGTTGCTCCAGTGGTGCAGTCGCTCCAGTGCAGTCGCTCCAGCGCAGTCGCCCCAGTGCAGTCGCTCCAGCGCAGTCGCTCCAGTGCAGTCGCTCCAGTGCAGTTGCTCCAGCGCAGTCGCTCCAGTGCAGTCGCTCCAGTGCAGTCGCTCCAGTGCAGTCGCTCCAGTGCAGTCGCTCCAGTGGTGCAGTCGCTCCAGCGCAGTCGCTCCAGCGCAGTCGCTTCAGCGCAGTCGCTCCAGTGCAGTCGCTCCAGTGCAGTCGCTCCAGCGCAGTCGCTCCAGCGCAGTCGCTCCAGCGCAGTCGCCCCAGTGCAGTCGCTCCAGCGCAGTCGCTCCAGTGCAGTCGCTCCAGTGCAGTCGCTCCAGTGCAGTTGCTCCAGTGCAGTCGCTCCAGTGCAGAGCTGTCACTCAGAAAGCAAAGCATTATGATTCTGTTTTCAGAAGCCAAAGTAAAGTTTTCTTGTTGACAAAAATGACAAGATGAGAGACATGATCATTGTCTTGATCGGCTGAGGTGGTCGCTCACAGAGGCCCCAGAGAGCAGTGAGGTGGTCCCTCACAGAGGCCCCTGAGAGCAGTGAGGTGGTCACTCACAGAGGCCCCTGAGAGCAGTGAGGTGGTCACTCACAGAGGCCCCTGAGAGCAGTGAGGTGGTCCCTCACAGAGGCCTCTGAGAGCAGTGAGGTGGTCCCTCACAGAGGCCCCTGAGAGCAGTGAGGTGGTCCCTCACAGAGGCCCCTGAGAGCAGTGAGGTGGTCACTCACAGAGGCCCCTGAGAGCAGTGAGGTGACAGTCACATTCTTAAGGTTAATTAAAAGCTCATCTTTGTGACACACGCAACTTTAATTCAATTCATTATATTTTTGTGTAGCTCTAAGTTACAACAGCTGTTTTCTCAGAGAAAACTTTTACTTGTTCCAGTTCTGTTCCACACACACCTGTTAAAGGTATTTTCTGGCGTCCATTGTGTTAAAATCAGGGCTTCACAAACTCAGTTAATAAATATAAAAATATATTTATTTGTAAGCAAGTACGTAGTTAGTGGTGGATCCACTGCCTCTGTTTAATTTGTGAGAGTTATTTGTGGTGCTTTGACAACCTCAGGCCTCTTCAAATGCAGCAATCTTTTGTGGGAATCCGATCTTTCCAGGAAAGGATTGGCCACTTCTAACGAGGCAGCGAGACAGTATCACTGCTCTGTGTTTAAGGAATCAGCTTACACATTGCTATTTTAAGCTTTCTGCAAAACACCTAAGCTCAGTTTGATAACGCTGAGAGGAAGTCTTCAGTCCTGGTGGTTTTTGATACAAGCTGTATTTTATGATAAACAGTCTTTTTACTCTGTCAGGCCTTAAACCGCTGGATGGTGTGATGTTTATGTGTTGTGACATAAGGCATGGTTTCAAGTTAGTTGTTTTAAAGTGAGTTTATATTCACTTGTACTTATATAAAAATAACAAGAACATGAGCAAATGACCAAAAAGAGAAACCATGAGCAGTGTTTTCTTGTTGATTTCCCCTGTGATTAGAATCACAAACCCACTGTGTTATTCTGACGTCTGAAAGTCCCATCTACAGTCACAGCATTCATATTTGTTAGATATTGTCACTGAGTTGATATCACAAAGAAGATGTGGAACTTTTTGACAGTTTTTGTTTCATGTGGATTGGCCCAAAAGATTCAGAGAAAGTCTGACTTTTGACATTTACCATCGTTACCGGGAAAGATTTTTCAGCTGCCTTCATGTTTCAACTATTGACTCTTTGATTTGTTATCATGTCATTTGAACGTAACCTATCGTGGTCGCTGGCATCGAACTGACCTTTTTCTAATCCGTACCACTGATCTGTTGACACTACTTTATCAGATACTGTACTGAATTACATACGACACGATGAATGAGAAGTCAGATATGCGTGTTCTTCTACAGTACATTAGCAGCTTAGTGTTATGCTAATGACACCTGGCCCTAGTTACTAAACACCCCCATTATGTGGGAATATTCTCCCTGTGCTTCCTCCTTCATATGTAACAGGTGCTGCTGGAGTTGTTAAGGAATCCCTAGGGATTTAAGGTGGGACTTATTCTTACCTAATGCTCTAATGCTCATTAATTCCTGCTTTGGTGACTTACCTCCCCCTGATCCTCTCTGCTGCTGTAGGGGCCTCTGCTGCTGTAGGGGCCTCTGCTGCTGTAGGGGCCTCTGCTGCTGTAGGGGCCTCTGCTGCTGTAGGGGCCTCTCGATGCTCTCCTCCTCTACTCCAGAGCGGCCACTAACAGATGATGGACAATGTGTCATATCCCGCCTGTTGTTTGAGAAAAGCAGGAAGTGACTCGCACGCGACAGGGTTTAGATGTTTTGGACTGGTTATTAGAGCCGCCACCTGGCCGAGGATATGGGTCAAAGACTGGGGTACATATGGATACATATGTTTTAGGTAAATATACAGACACAGTCCTTTATCACTGACACAGTCATTTATCACTGACACAGTCAAATACACACCAGAACTTAACAGTGACTTTTGTGTGATTATTGTTTTAAAATATTTGGTAAAACAGACAACATGTAGTATTTATGTTTTTAAAGCCTCTTGTTTAAAAGGGTTAGGGTTATATTCAGCACCTGAACATAACCAAGACACCATTCGCTCTGTCCTGTCGTTTACTTTAGACTATTCATTGTATTTTTTGTAAATCAATTAAATTAACTAAATAAGATAAGAGACAATAACACTTTTTGGTTCACAGTCAGTTACTGAACAGTATGAGTGACATGATAAATAACTGAAAATGTTTGGAGAATAAATAATAATAGACAGGCCTCGGACAGACCTAAAGAAAATATATAATAAAATATAATATTATTATTGACCACAAAACATTCCCCGTTACATTGAAAATCACATTACAACTACTGCTTTTAAATTAAAAATATATTTCTAATTTTGGATCTTGTTTGTCCTAGTAGTTATTATAAACATACGTATTTGAAAACACCAACTTTTTCATTTTTTACCAAAAAGGACATATTTCCGTGAGAATGACCTGTGTTGAATTGTTTGGTCTAAAACCGAGTGAAATCTAATGTTGAATCTCACTGGAGAATTTTATTGATTTTGTTGAAAGTCGTGTGATCCTTTGATATAAAGTCTGACAATCGATTGGGTGAGTTTAATCCGCTCTATTAATCCCAATTAATCTCATCTTCAGGTTCCTGTATTTAATTCAGTAAGTAGAGCAACTGTCTCCAACTGTCTCCAACTGGACCATTTAGAATTACATTTCAAGCTTCATCTGATTTTTACTGTGCCCCACTTTTCAATATGGAATCAGGAATTCTGTTCAGCACAATTGTTTCTGTTTTAGTTGATCCAATAAAATTAGGATTTCAAAAATTACATTATTTTTCTAAATAAACAGCGTGAGGCCGTTTCCGTCTGATTTCTGCTCAGAAGAGTTCCACTCTGCTCTCAGGGCCACCGGACTCATTTATTTGGTGGAAGTTTGTTTCCGTTTCCGTGAAGTACAGGCCAAAATGATACGTTTTTACTTTTTACCGTAACAACTGTGTGTGACTATAATTTCATTGATTTTTATTCCATCGAGCAAGATTTTACAATCATAGTATATACTTATACATGAAAATATATAAATATAAATATTAGTGCTGTCCAACGATTAAAATATTTAATCGCGATTAATCGCATGAATTTCATAGTTAACTCGCGATTAATCGCAAATTAGTCACACATTTGCGTGCTGTGTGCAATTGCTTTTTTTATTGAAAACAATGTGTAGTGTTATATTACACACTAACATTTGATGCAAAATCATCAATAAATGGATGACAAAATAAATAATTGGTAACAAAAAGCCCCTTCAATGTGTGCGTGTGGGTGTGTGTGTGTATGTGTGGGTATAGACCATAGACTGTATAGAAACATCATGGTGTCATTATGATGATGATAAACAATCTGTAAATATTTTGTAAATTTGTTCATGTAAATACTCTATGCTGTTTCTCTGTTTACCTTCGGTATATCTATGACTGTATACTGTTTGCTTGTATTGCCTTTTTTATTAACCCCTCCCCCCATCTCCCACTTCATGTCCCCCCCCCCCTCCCCTCCTATGTGCCCTTCTGGGTTTCTTCTTTGGCCCCCTGTATCTCCAACTACATATTGTTTGTAATCTCTGTCTACAATGTATCTGAACTAGTCCTTTTCTTTGTTTCTATGTGTTTGTCTGCAATAAAAAGTAAAAAAAAAAAAAAAAATTTTTTTTTTATTTCTTTTTTTTTTTTTTTATCGCGCGATAAAAAAAATGACGGCGTTAATATTGATTTGCGTTAACGCGTTAATAACGCGCTATTTTGGACAGCCCTAATAAATATACAACCAAGCAGCAGTATTTGCCCTAGTTTCACCATGTCCTGTCATTTACAAATGCATTTCTATTTACAATGGAGACAAGATGACTGTGAATATATGAGATTTTATATTTAATATGTTACAAAAATATGATTTTTCTATGTAAAGTTCTTAAATCTCTGAGCAGCCATTCGTTGGTAACATGAGCATACAGCAGTGACAGTAACAGATAAGTTGGAACCATAAGAGACAGAGTTGGCCATGGTCCAGTTGTAGGCACTGGGTAATTGTATCATAACAGCTGTTAATCTGTGTTGATTATGAATTAAACACACGATTGAATCGATTGAGATCAAATTAGCTCACTGTATAGGAGCAGGACAGCATATGTTGGACTGTTATGTAACTGCTTTACTATTGTATAAGCACACACATATTGATTGGTGAGGTTTATAGAAGTGTGTTTTTGCCCTGGTTGGTGACTGTTTAGTGCAGGGCTCATGTGACAGCAGGGGCAGGAGGCAAAGGGGCAGGAGGCAAAGGGGCAGGAGGCAAAGGGGCAGGAGGCAAAGGGGCAGGAGGCAAAGGGGCAGGAGGCAAAGGGTCAAAGAAGCAAAGAGGCGTTAGCGCTGGTGAGAAGGATTACCTCAATCTGTTAGTCCTCCTTTTCTTTCCCCAGGGCAATGTCAAGTCTCATTACTGCTGTCATTCCTTGTGGATCGTCTGGCTTTAGTGGGATACGTTTAAGGCCTGCGCAGGTCAGGCGTCCAGGAACACCAGAATTAGAAACGCAGTGATACATGTGGTGTGGCCTTCTCCTGAGAGGCTTGTTGCCGTAAGCAGACAGGTAAACATCTCCAAAGCTGGCATTGAAGGCTGCTAAGCCCTGACTCGTTTAAGTGAAACGGGTGACTTCAACTCACAGATCACATTCATACATTGGTAATTGTCGAGACAAGTCATTTGGTCTTACTTTAAAAGGTGTGTGCATGTGTGTGTTCTTTTTTAGAAGAAAACATGAGCAGATTTTGGCAAAGTGTCTGACAACTGCAATGGCTTTTGTGATACAACTGACCACTATGCAAGAAGTGATCATTTTTGTAGTGATTTTGACTTTACTGCACAATAGCAGCCACCGTCAGATCGAACCATTGTCTTTCTCACAGCTTAATCATTACTGGATGCGTTATCAAACAGAAATGTGTAATATTTGTCAGAGCAGTTCTCAAAGAGGATTTTACTCCTGGTTTCCTTTTTTTTGTCCAGGTTTTGTATGCAAACAATTGTCCTTTTCACAAATGCTTTAAATACGTTGTAACTCTTTAGTTTAGACGGCTCCACTGGTGGGTTTGTGAATGTAAGGCACTTGTCCGCATCGAGAGCTGGTCCTTTTTTTGTAAGTGGCTCATTAGAAAAATCACTGGTGTTAATCCAGGGAACACAAACACACAGACTATAGAACTTTTCTCATGCAGTCATTAGTTGAGTTCATTAGTTGTGTTGTAAACTCCTGTCTTATATGGGTCAGTGGATGCAGTGTTTCGACCGCCTTGTGCCACAGTGACCCGTGTCTCCCTCCAGCTGGTCCACCGAAGCCGCGTAGCTCTCCTATCCTTAGCGGGACGGGCTAATCTAGATGGCGGGAGGTCTGCCTCCTGCTAACATACACAAGAGAGGGCAGGCCTAATTGCTTATGTCGTAAAGCTCTCTGACCCAGATAAGCCGTCACTCCCCAAAGCTGCTGAGATAAACCCCACTTTACCTCACCAAACCTGGCTCCCCTGATCCACACAGACACCCCCGCTGGACACTTATGCGCCTTCTGCCACTCAATAACACCAGCAATGCACAGACATAAGAGAGTGCACCATAGCGGTCACCTGTTAGAGTTGATCGAACCATTGTCTGTCAGCGTAATCCATACACTCCATGCATTATTATACAGGAAGGACATTCAAAGTGCTTCAAGTACTGTGTGTATGTCACAGGTTTGATTATTAGTTTGAGGTAAAACTGAGAATATTACAATATTGTTTAAAAGTAAATTTAAATGAGAAACCAATTTGTGACATACACTCAGAATTTAATTATGGCGTACAGTCCATTTTCAAAATATTCCAATTTTCTAAGATGTTTTATTTGGAGTTTTTATCAACATCAGCAAATAAAGGCTGTCATCTGTGTGTTAACTTCATGTTTTACATACGTACTTAATTGGATGTATACCGTGTCATCATAAACATGATTCTGATGAAACAGTATATGTTGTCACCAAAATAAACATATATATTTATATTTATAGGCCTAACCAATGCTATTCAGGCCTCTGCCAGGAGCACTGGTCCCTGTTGTGAGGCGCCCAGGGACCCATATAAATCAAAGACCATAGACTAGACCAAATGCCAGAGACTCCAGCAGAGACCATAGGACCATAGGAGGCACTTATGGTTTATTCAGACACATCACGATTTATCACAACCAACAAGATTTGAGATTGTCAATGCGTGTGTTTGTCTGCAGGCGGAGCCCAAAAACTACTGCACGGAATGAGCTACATTTGGTGTGTATTTAGGATGTGGAGCCAGAGCCCATTGGTCATGAGAGTTTTATCTATCAATGTGGTCGCCCCGGTGTCTGCTGCTAAAACAAACTAGCAAATGTACCTGTCCCCAATCTTGTAATTCTATAAAAACTTTTAAGCAAATTTGCATCTTTAAACCATCCATCCATCCATTTTCTTCCGCTTTATCCGTTGCCGGGTCGCGGGGGCAGCAGTCTAAACAGAGACGCCCAGACTTCCCTATCCACACACACCTCCTCCAGCTCGTCCGGGGGGACCCCAAGGCGTTCCCAGGCCAGCTGAGAGACATAGTCCCTCCAGCGTGTCCTGGGTCTTCCCCGGGGCCTCCTCCCGGTGGGACGTGCC